TAGCACCTTCTTCTGCTGGTAGGTTGGTGACAGCTGGAGACTGAATGTCAGACAGAAGGCACAAGTACTCAGAGACAGTATCAAAAATCCTCCTTAATCCTTCTCCTGCGCTCAGATCAGACTTGTAATTAGGACAAATTTTTGCACAGATCAGGTAGGATATCTCTTACTATGTTTTAACGATCTTCTGCAGTATGAAGTGCAAATCTCCTATCCAAAACATTCAGGCATAATTTACCTGAGAAGTTTCAGCGACAAAAACTACAAAAGTTCCCAAATACCTTAGATTCTCTCACTGGCTTCCTTGATGCATTCAGAGGTTTAGCCCACTGAAGATTAATTGCTTAGGTTAACGTTTTTTAAAGTTAAGTTGAACAGCCTACAGAATAAAAATGGTTGCACTAGAGAGGTGGTCTCTCTATGCTTTATTGACAGAACTATAAAGTCTGTTGAACAGAAAACATTGGCGACCGGTATTTTTTCCAGCCTGCTTTATTGCTACACTAAATTGCGTCTGATGTCACATAGACTCAGCTATACACGCCACTCAGTACTACATAAGTCACTAATTTTCATTTTTATCCTCTAATTGTTCAGAAAGTATCGAGGCCAAGACAGTGTAAAATTCAAACATTTTTCCACTATTAATATTCATGGATGGCGGCAGCAGTACCAGGAAACAAATGTAGATTTGTTTTTGCCATCAGGGTCATGAGTCCATACAAATTAAGAGGTTTAACCCAAATACTGCTTACTTTTAGGTTTCTATGAACCCACATGCACTTCCCCAGCCTCACACTGAAAATGCCAAGAAGCCAGTGCCCTCAGATTTCTGAACACAGGTCAAATCAGATCACCAGCTTTCCAAGGGCAGGGCCTCAGCTTTATCCAACAAGTATTTAGAAAGCTTGAGACAAACTGATCAGCATGTCTGACCCAAAAATGAACACTGACCTTAAAACAGAGTTATAAAAGCTGCTGGACTTTTAATTCTAACACCGGATATGTGGAAAACGCACACATCAGTTTCTCAAAGATAGAGCCAAAACTGACCAAAGTAAAACTAGATGTTTGATTTGATGATGTAATAAATCGGATAAGAAAATTTCCAGTTTTCACATACACACCTCTGAAATCAGACTTTCCTAGGAAACAACAGCCTTAAAATCAAAGTCTCCAAACTCCTTAGCACTACTCCACACAGTCTCCCAGAAAGCAAGCCATCTGCTTACACAGAGGTTGCACTTAACAGAGTCTACTGCTGCTTCACAGAATACCAAGCCCAGGGAGACGTGCAGTGGTCGCACAGGTGGCTTTATTCAGTGCTGAGAACTAGGTCAGGACCTACAATTGAGGACAAGGTTTTACCATTGTCCATCGTAAACTTGGGGATACCTCTGACACAGCAGGTCAAGAGGAAGAGCACATAGCACAGGCTCTTCCCCACAGCAGTGGAGAAGCTGTAGCGCTGCGTGAGAACCGTGGAGTTTGTAAGCAGCTTTACCAGAAGGCAGAAGACTCCAAAGCTCATTTGAATGCAGGACACAGTATGAGTTTCAAGTTGTCTAAAGGAAATGCTCTAGGTGCAAAGACAGGAGGAAAGAGAAGCTTCCTTCTTCCCTCAAGATTTTCTTTTGACTTCAAGGTTCAGCAAAACATGCAAAATGAACAAGCCCCCTCCACTATGCAATATGACCACAGTAGCATTGTTTCACTTTGCCTATAAGGTTTTATAAGCAATACTTTCTGATAATACTACCTATCCAGTGCTACCCTTTTTTTAAATAAAGGAGAGTGGACATTCTAAAATTATAGCCATGAAAATCTACCTTTATTAAATGTTTGTCAGGGTTTTCAAAAAGGTGATACCTGATCAGTGTCTGGGAAAAGACAAACAAGCAAAAAGACCCCAACCACATACCCATCTGCTATCACAGATATCAAAACTCTGAACAACTTTATGTTTAATATTTAAATTATCTTTAATGTTCACCGCTGTTGAAGCCACTCAGAACCTATGCTTTCAAAAAGTGCTGTAAATAACAAAAGCTCCTAAAAATGACAGAAGAAATTAAAACTTGTTTTTGAACAGGAACATAGATACTTCCCTGATACTTTAAAAATGCAAGAAATTTCAGTAACTTTTAAAGTATTCACATCTAAAATATTAGTATCACGATGCATAAAGGATGAACTGAAATGCAGCAGTGCATAGGCGAAGTGGCCCCATTTTGGCCAGGATCCAGTTATTTTCATGTAGACTGAATAGCAAGAGATGATATTTCTGAAATGCGTTGGCAATGAACAGAACAATGTCATTTAATCCTTTGAACTATTCTGCAAAAATAACTTCTTCCAGAACAGCTGGATGACATTCTGTATCTTTACTCATTTACAGGCAAGAAAAAAAGTACTGACAGTGAGAAAGTGAGTCTTTTCCCCTCAGCTACGCATAAATAGTAAAAACACTGCCCTAGACTTTGTTAAAGTTACAATTTCACTTTATGCAAGCATGAGAGCTATTTTATGGGTTTGGTTGGGGGGTTTTCCAAGTTAATTCAGGTTAAACACTGAAAGCATCTCTCAATCTAGAGTGAAAAATCTGTTGACCTTCCTGGCTACTACCCTCTGGAACAGAGGACTTTTCAGGGATAAACCTTCAAATTGATCATATATGACAAAAACAAAGACCAGGTCATTTTAGTTTTAAATATAAGTGCTTAGGGCAAATCTAGATGCACTGTATTTTCAAGGGTTCGAAAGTATGACAGACTGTGAACAACTCCACACTTTACAGTCTCAGTATACAAACCCCATAGATCACTAACAGTTAATGTGGCATGCCCAGAATGCCTCCAAACTGCCTATGGACATGTATGAACAAAGACACCAAGGCACTGCTCCTCAGTCTCGCCTCCAGTATGGAAAAGACCACATCTAAACAAAAAATTTCCATTTACATTACTGCTCATTAGGAGGCTGGAAGTGGGACCTTTAAAGAGGGGAGTAGGAAAAGATTCTGCAGGGTTTTTACTGGAATTAAATGTTACTTTATCAAGGAAGTCTATTAAGAAACAAATTCTAAAAATCAAGCACATAATTATCAGATTCTGCTTTATGTTCATTCTGATTGTGTAAAAAGGCTTAGGGATTTATAAAAGAGTCCTGCAAAAAGTACTGCAAAAATCAAAATACTGTAGTTCAGCTTCTTCATTCACCACAATTATTAAACCTTAATAACAGCTCTTACACATCCTGATTTGGAGACACATTCTTATTGAAGCAAGGGCAAATTAAAAGTGCATAAGTATCAGGTTTGCTTTCCAGACCAAAGTAAAGTATGTTCCTTACATATTACATTAAGGAACAGTGCCACAAATGTTAGATGTACTAAATGATATCTATTTTTATTATGTTATTAACTTTTCTTGTGTTGGTCTGAGCTCTTGCTCTGAGGTACAAGACCTTAGGGGAAAAAAAAAAAAATCTAACTTGCCTATCCATCAACAGTAATAATTAGTTTCCAGAGAATCTGACATACACACGCCCCCCCCCTTTTTTTTTTTAAAGAACTTACACTTATGCAATTTTTATTTGCATCAGAGTTAAACTAAAATTGTCCTTTTCTTATACAATATTCCATTTTTGTTGATAGATTTGTTAAGCAATGACATCATCGATCTTAAGTATGCTTTTCAGGAAATGTTAAGAAAGTTACAAGCAATTAGCACAGCTGCTCCAAAAGATCATGAAATCACAAAAAGAAGGATGAAGAGCCTAAGAAACCATGTGCATCACTACTTGGCAACAGAGCCACAAGGTGAATTTACTATTTCTTGATTAATATAACTTTGGAGATCCTACAGCAAATGCCCAAGAAAAGCATCTTGCATTATTACGAGACTAGATGGTTGAGTTTTTTGAGATGGAACTAACCTGAATATTCATGACTAGAGGCATGAATTCAGCCATTATTTTCTGGCAGAGAATCCATGTAATTCAGAAATTGCTAGTGATTAGAGAGTGTGCAGGCATTATGCTGGAACCAGCAAGTTTGATATGTAAGCAGCACAAATGTGGTTGATGGGTGTGTTACCAGTTTGCGCTAGAAGAGAGTGAATCAAAGCACATAAATGAGGTGGAGGACAATATGAAGACTGGAGATCTCAAGTAGGGTTGAATAAGGCAGATGAAGGCAGTAGAGATGTTGAATTTTTCATGAATTTCCCATTCACATTCAGCTGAGGCTTCTTTGGGTGGCACCCCCATTCTTTTATAGCGCTTCCCAGTTTTGATGGGGGATGGAGGAAAGGACAGAAATCTAGATAAATTATGAGACCAATTTAGTCTCTTGACACAGTAAAATTGAACAGAATTTTAAAAGCCTGTATGCAGGAGGAAACAAGTTTGGAGAATGCAAGTCTAAGTATTACTTTTGACATAAACCTTCCATATGTGATTTTGTACTGAACTTGCACATAAAACCAGCTTGGAAATGTGAGCCTCACATATGTATCGTCATTCTATTTCCAAATTAAACAGCTAACAACCAAGCTTATTCAAATTCTAAAACCTCCTTTACAAATGCCTGATTAACCACCATGTAAATCCTTCAGATAGATGAAAAATTTTAGGAAGACAAAGTTGAGTACACCATCCTTTATCCACCCTACACTGAAAATTTCTGGACAGTGTTTGGAATACATGCCCTATGTAAAGGATATTAATATCTTCATAGACATCTTAAGGAGGGACAGTAAGACAAAGTGCATCCCATTACACAGTTCCCAAATCCAAGAGCATACTGTTTTCCATCTCTCAGAATGCTCTTGACAACTTTAATCTACAGATTAAAGCCATATAAACTATGGATAAAAGTCTTACTGGAATTATTTTCCCTGTATTAGATTGTTGTGTGTTCCGCATTAGGAAACGGCGTGTCAAGAAACTCCCATGAACAGTATTTTAGGAGCAACTAATTTCTGTTTTACATTTTCCCAGGGGAGTGTGAATGTGCTCCCCACCCCAAAATTATGCAGTCATGTTTCCTACTTCTGGGTAAACCTCAAGGGTCATGCACACCCACACGGTAAGAGATGAAACACCATGAGAAAACCATCTTCCTGATCATGCTGCCTCCCTTGTCAGGCAAGTATTGCACAACTGAATATGGCTGCATAAATTAACATTATGCAAAACCAGGACTTATCTTCCAGCTGAGATTCTCATTGTTTCCACCTGACAGTGGCAAAAAGATGTTATTTACTTCACTGTACAGGTTTTCAGAATTACATCTGGGGAGAAATGCAGTAGTCCAGTTTCTCCAGTCACTGTAAATCATGCAAACACTGCATTTAATGGCTGTTTTAGCAAAGGTACTATCAGAATCACAAACACAACTGTCTATGGCAGACCAAACTTTTAACATTCCAGGAGTCACGGCCACTCTCCCACTTTCTACTAGGCCTATTTCTTAATTTCTTAGCTACGACCATTCCAGTCTCCATACGGTTATGTTATTCAACTGAAAATTCAACAGAATAAAGGAGTATGCATAAAACACAGAAGGACGTGCAGAAACCATGGCATAAAGATTTTGTTTGTATTACAGGAGGACAAGGACTAATCTAAACCTGATACTTGCTCAGTTACTCCAAGGGCTGCAGATGCTCTGCACGCCACAATCTAGTTAACAGACAGAACAACTCGTGCTCTGCTCTGCTGTTGTTACAAAGTAGGCACATTTATAAAGGCTGCCTTCACTGAAGAAGCCAAGCTGGACCTATTTACATTTTGGGTCACAGTCTGAGACCCTAGGGGACACACATCAACTCTCCCTCCTGCTCTTACACAGACAGCGCTTTGAGAGACCCAGCCCCAAGCACACAGTTCAGCCCCAAACATTAAGACAGAGGTCCATACCAAAAGTATCCAAAGGGTCACAATAGTTTTTGCATGGCTAGAACGTTTTCCAAAACTAAACTAAAACCATTACTAAAACCAAACAAACAAAACTGAAATCATGCTTCTGCACATTCTGCACTTACTGAAGTCAAGTCCAAATGTAAAACATGAAAGGGTCCTGTTGTAAACACACCCATGCTTCCAGATTAAACTGAACACCATCCATAAAGACTAACACCTTTAGGCAAGGATTATTTTAGTTGACAAACATCTGAAGATTAATAGTAGAAAAACAATCTTTCTACATATCTCTCATCTTACTGTTTGTCTAAAAAACAAGTCCACCACCATACTGTTTTTATTATTGTTTTTTACTCAGATCCCTACTTGGGACTCCTATCCATGGACAAAACGTCCTCCATCTTTCAACATTACCACTACCAATAGCTAGAAAACTTTTAACAACAAAATACACGTGCTTATGTTTGCCTAGTAGTAACCAGAGACCTTTCCCCACTCCGTTCCAAAAATCAGACCTATCCAGTGTTGGGTTTATAATCCCAGAAACAGAAATTTAAAATAATGAACAAAGAGACATAGTTGTATCAAATCAGTTGGTTAGACAAAGATCCTGAATAATCCACACAGCCCTGTCAAAGTACTTTTGTTCCTGACGCAAGCTGTAAAATGAAATCTTTCTGGAAATCCTACTGCCACTATTTTATTGCTGAAACACCTATGTACAATTCTTTCAAGTTCATTGAAAGGCTACTGGCATTAGAAATTGCAAAACACAGTGACATGCACACTGTATTCAAAGCCAGAATTCTAAACCCAGCTTTTACAGCTATTTCCCAAACAGCATGCAGTCGGATACATGCCAGCAGTTTCTGCCCATGTGAAGTCCAACTGATCTCAACAAAACCTGGGAAGTTGTTTTGCCCATCTCCTTGGAGAGCTGCTTACCAACTGCGTGGAATGAAAACAACAATCACTTCCATTAGAGCTGTATTGTAGTACTTGTTTTTACAACAGTATTATTTTATATGTAGAAACATCTAATTTAAGTCTTTGTTTCCATATTTTGTAAGCATATTTTGCTTTCTCAGGAGTACAATATCATTTTGAAACTCTTCCTTGACAGCTATTCCCACATGGTGCCTGCTGCATTGCTGAGCCTACACAACTGTTTGTGTGGTCATGCTGTGAGCTGGATAACAGACTAGGGTAGGTAATTTGTAAACAAGCTCCCCCATCCAAACCTGCAATCAGATCTCTTCAACAGAAGCTCCTGCCCTTAAGAGATTTCAATAGGACCAAACATGCCCGCATACTTAAATGCATACTAGGCCACAAGCAATTCCCACTTTGTTGTTCAGTAACAAAACATCCAATGAAGTTTAGGAAATCCAACAGAAATCCTACAAAAATGTGTTCTATAGAGCTGCATGATAAATGACACATACTATCCCATTTTTAACATTAAAATGTTACCTTCCTATGCATATCCAGACAAAAACATATTCTATCATGTCTTTCCCAGAAGTCCCCACACAAGACATATATGCAGTCCACACAGGCCATTCAACCTCAGGGACCTTGCAGCCAGAAATTAGTAACTTCAAGTTTGGTTTTGTTTTGTTTCTTTTTAAACCAGAAGTTCAGCAGTTCTAATGCTCAAATATTAAGCCTAATGCTTATTTAGTCAACTGCTTCAATTTCATAAAGAGATTCTGCAGCATTCTATTCTGTATACAAAGAGTTTCTGTATCTGCCAGAGTAAAAACCATTTGCAATTTAATAAGCAAGCAACAAAACTTTGTCTAAAAGGGCAAAAATTGTCAAACTCAATCAAACTAGTGATTTAACTTTCCAAATACCCTAATTAACCATGGCCAGTGTGCAATTTTAAGAACAGTACAACATGCACACACGCTCATTTGCAGTGATTTATTGATTTATGCTTTACACCATGAAAAAAGTTCCATACATTTTAACATTCCTTGTGTAACTGACAGAAAATGTTTTATCTTACATTGCTAAACTCTTGACCGTAACAATACCTCATAGCAGTAAATCCCATGGGCTAATACAGAATGTGATTTTTTAAAAGCAGTGTATTTTAAACATATTATGTGTAAAAAATCCTAGAGAAATCCTCTGTGTAATGTAATTCAGATTTTAAAAACTGTTTCTGACCTTACAGTATCAATTTAATTTTCTACCCTATTTCAATGTATTTTTCTCACCTGTCTCCCCTAAAACCAACCTTAACTGTCTCTTCTACCCCACACTTGCTCACTGTTTTCTTTCCTATCAGTACCAGCTCTTACTATAGAATTTCAGAGCTCAGATAAGAATAAACAGGAAATACTTTAAATTCCACCATTCATCTTTAATCTTATGGACCTCTAATGAACATCACTACAAATCAGATGGTTTTATGAGGATGTTCAATGACACACAATACTAATATATGTCACTAGCGTAAGTTATTATTTATCAACCTTAGTTAGTCATCCTCAAGTTCCTTGCTTTCCTCCAAGTTTCAAGTAACCTATACAAGACTTGCCTCAAATTTAATTTGTTTCCGTTTTTTAGATCTTTCATAATATGTGAAGAAATTAATGGTAAAATCTGGACAGCCCATTATCTAAGTCATTGTACTGCATGTCCTTGTTGCAAACCTATTCTATGCAGTTGCTACTGTCTACACCCACTATTCCTTAACATTTTTCACAGGGCAACTAATCTAATCCCATAAATCTTGGAAAGGATGTACACTCATTCTTCTTTAAGGGGAAAGGGGAAAGTAAGATTTTTCTGACTCTCCAAAAATCAAATTGGATATGAACATGCATCTTCAGTTTATAAAACAGTTTAAATTTTATGTGCTCATGAGGCACAGTGCCAACACGAAAAATGTACCTCTAAGAACACTTAAAGCGTCACCAGCTAACACGACACTATCTAAAAAAAAAAAATATTACCAACGTTATACTCATATAAGAAACTAAAACGCCAGATCTGCATATGCTGCTGAAAATAGAAATTACTCCAATAGTGACTGCATCCCTTTCAGAACTAGCTACAGCATAGGCCACATCTACAGGGGATGCTATTCTTGACCGCACAATAAGAGGTTATTTCAATTTAAGACAGCTGAGCCATGCTCAGCTTCAATTTTGACAGATAAATGAATTTTAGAAAAAATCTAAAAAGCACATATAAAGCTAAAAAGCTTTTTCTTCTCTCCAATGTTTAATAGTATATTTTCAGTTAAACAAATTTACCTGGTTCACCAGAAGGAGGAGAAAAAAAAAAAAAAAAAGCAAAAAAAAGCTTGGCTTTTCAGTAATTTTTTTAATCATTTCTATCACTCCAAGGCAATAATATTATTTACTTCAATCTGACAACTTCTCAGTTACCATGACAAATCCTATACAATCCTAGTTGAAAGACATACTTTTAAGAACAAAAAGTCAAGATAATAAACTTTTACAGCTTTCCTACTACACATACATTAATACATTCTTTCAAAATACCAGTATTCCTAAATATATTCTCCTCATTCCAAGATCTTTAAGATGACATCTGCTACGTCATCCACTCTTTGGAGACTATTACCAAACAGCTTCAGACTTCGGATTCTTTTTACATGAGACTGTCTCTAGTTCACATGTGTTTAACAGTAAACGACAGACAAAATGTCTAAATAATAAAGGAGATTAAAGAAACTTTATTTGCTTAATAATCGGTATGCATGTACTAAAGAAACCCTCCTCAAGCTTTAAAGTATTAACTATAATTTAATAGCTTTCAAAATTATACCTGGCAAGCATTTTCCCCCCAGAATTCCATTTTGGGATGTAACTTATCTAACATTAACACTTAAACATGTGCAAAATGCCATTAAGTCATTGATGTTATGCCTATATAATTATTTACCATTCACATTAATCATTATGTTTGAATACAGCAATTTAAAGGAATAAGATCTAGTTCTCAGTCTTCTAAATTAGTTCTCAAAACACTGAAATACTGTTAAACTTGTGAATAAAGAAATCTAATTAAGCACACAGATAGGGCTAAACACTGCTTTGGCAATTATTTATACCTAAAATCAACAGGAAATTCAACTAACAGCTGAAGGGAAGTCAATAATACACATTAAGCCCAGTCAGGAAGGAACCTTTCAAACATCATTAAATTTCTACCCTGTCCTAACCAAACTACTTTCCATGCTTGAACT